GCTCAGTAAATCGGCATGGGTCCGCAGATTGGGGCGGAGATATAGGTGTGTTTAGTGACTGATTCACAGATAAACAGTCAAGTGCTGTGAATTGTGACAGGTCCCAAGTGCAGCTTTTAACATTCAGATGAAGGAGATTACATTGGGACAAAGAGAATATTTTCAGCAGTATTTCGTTTTGTGTAACGTGAGAGCCTGCAGGAAGCTTGTTTAGCACAGGAATGTAGTGATTTACTTAACTAGCTGATTTACCTAACTAGCTAGCACTGCCTTCCTGAGTGGAGCTTCCAGCAGATAGGCGGCTGTGCCGGCGCGTGTTTTGAGCGACCGAGCCGCAGCAGAGGGGTTCAAGAGCCACGTGCGGCTCCAGAGCTGCGGGTTGCCGACCCCTGATCTTGGATGACTTCTTAGAGGTTGAAAGGGTGGTGTTCTGGTGGGTGTGGAATAGAGGAAGTGGGCTAGGAAACAAAGAGTTCTGTGACATCTCCATCACCTGTTCCTGCCCACTTGGGAAGCAAACTAGATGGGATTAGGGGCCTGTCTGGGGGCGGGGTGAGGGAGGGGTTGGAGGAACAGGAGCAGGAAGCAAAATTGCCTCTGTCTTCCCTCCACGCTGGACAGCCGCCTGGTGGAGCACTGGATTTTCAGGCACTCGATTGTAATTATTCGGGGACCATTTTTTTAGCAGATCAAAATGTTTTTAATCTAAGCAATCAATGGATTAAACATTGCAGGCTAAGACCTTTTACGAAGGAACTTTGAAGACAAATTCTGCCTTTAGAGATAAATAATCTATATTCCCCATCTTTTCACATTATTGCTTTTTTTGCTGTTTTGTTACTTTTGGGTGGTTCTGCTTGCTCCCTACCCCGTGATGTGGTTGAGTAGTTCTATTAGCCTGCGTCTCCTGCTGTCTGGAACGGTCTGCTTCCCCTATTTCTTAATTCTACGCAATTTTCATGTGTGGGAGATGATTTTTTTTTTTGAATTAATGGTCATCTGTTTAGATAGTTGACCCATGAATATTAGGCAGAAACGAGGAATCCCCACTTCTCTTTCAACGTAGGTTCTGAACCTGCACGGAAACAGGCTGAGCAAACTCCGGGACATCTCCAGGCTCACTGGGCTTCGCAGGCTTATCATCAGCTTTAACGAATTCACTTGTTTAGATGATGTGTACCACTTGGTAAGAGAAATGCATCCTCATTCCGCTGTTCATGCCAACACCCACCCTGCTTTTGGGAGGAATGTGGAGGGGTACAAGTGGGGGAGCTTGACAGAAATATGTCCCCGTTTGCAGCTTAGGGAAGTACTTTTATAAAAAGTAAGTTTGTTGTTGTGGTTAGTCATGAAGTCGTGTCCGACCCATTGCAACCCCATGGACAACATTCCTCCAGGCATTCCTGTCCTCCACCCTCCCCCAGAGTCCACCAAGATCACACCCACTTCTCCAGTGACTCCATCCAGCCACCTCGTCCTCTGCTGCTCCCTTCTTCTTTTGCCATCTATTGTTCCCAGCATTAGGCTCTTCTCCAGGGAGTCCTTCCTTCTCATTAGGTGGCCAAAGTATTTGAGTTTCATCTTCACTATCTGGCCTTCTAAAGAGCAGTCAAGGTTGATCTCCTCTAGGACTGACCGGTTTGATTGCCTTGCGGTCCAAGGGACTCTCAGGAGTCTCCTCGAGCACCACAATTCAAAGGCCTCAATCCTTTGGCGCTCAGCCTTCCTTATGGTCCAGCTTTCACAGCCATACATTGCAACTGGGAAAACCATAGCCTTGGCTATACGCACTTTTGTTGGCAGGGTGATGTCTCTGCTTTTTAGTATGCTGTCTAGTTTGCCATAGCTTTCCTCCCCAGGAGCAAGCGTCTTTTAATTTCTTGGCTGCAGTCCCCGTCTGCGGTGATCTTGGAGCCCAGGAAAATAAAATCTGTCGCTACCTCCATTTCTTCCCCATCTATTTTCCAGGAAGTGAGAGGACTGGATGCCATGATCTTAGTTTTCTTAATGTTGAGTTTGTTTACCGCTGAGCTTAAAAGTGAGGGTTTTTTTTTTAAATGTAAGTGGGGCAAAGTACATCAGAAGTGGTGGGTAGCAGCACCAGCTGGGAACATTCTTCCCATCTGCCCTCCCCAGAACTCCCTTGGAGATGATCTTCACCACCATGTGGCCTCCTTCCACCACCTCTAGAGGCAAAAATAGCTGGTGGCCAAGAAGGCACTCCTGGCACTGAAGAATAAGAAGCAAGGTGAAGCATTTGGACTCCCATTTCACACACACATCCTCACAGCCCCCACGGACAGTTCATCCCATTGAACGCTTGGTAGGGCTTTCATAGTCCTCCCTATTCAAAGAACTCCGGCTGGCTGCCATATGCAAAGTCAGGCAGGCAGGGGAAAAATCTAAAAGGAGAATTTTTGTTAGCGAACAGTCGGTGGAAGCACTCATTTTTCTAAAAAGAAGAGTAGATTTTTACATCCTCCTTAAAAGTAGAAGACAAGACACTGGATATTGGCCAGGAGAGAAAGATAGTGAAATACTGCCCAGATACCTGTTGCTTGTGCTGAAGGATATTGTGGTAAAGTTTTGCAAGGCACTCATTTTAATTTTTTAAAGAAGACCAGGAATAGGACATAAAAGGAAGCAGTGTGTGGTGCTTGATGCAGGCAACCCAAGGATTCAGGGTATAATGAGGACCAATCTGGCCAAAAAAATCCCCCAGAATTCCAAGAGTGGACCTGCCAGCACTGGGAACAGTTGTTGGGGCTGCAGGCCGGAGCAAGGTTTCAGCTGCATCCAGTTCCTCCTTCAGAGGGTCGGTCTGAAGAGGAATTCCATGTAAGGCTAATGAGGCTACTGTGTGACCTCAGCCAGTGGCGGCAGTATGTGCTCTGGTCGCTCTCCCTTTGCGCACAAGTAGCAGACTCTGTTGTACACATCTAGCTGGCTACTGTGAGAAGGGATCCCACATTAGATCAGTCCTTGATTGGATCCAGCATGGCTCTTCTTACATGCTTCAGTAACACAAGCTGCTGGGCTTCTCCACAGCCCTATAGCAACAGACCCAGTAAAAGTAACAGGATACTCAAAATCCTCTTTTAGTTTGTGATATTTCCCAGTGTAGCCCATTCATAGGGAGGGTTTGCAGCTAACATGAAATCTTGATTTCACTTTAGGATGAGGAGGTCCCATGAGCTCCTCCTCTTTCCCTTGTCTTCCTTTGCAACTGCCTGGAGTTTGGAAGCTTTCTCTTCCGTTTTAGATTAGCCACGGGGAGACAAAATCCCTGCTGTACAGGAAGAACTGGGGATCATGGGTATAATTATTCATCTTTTTAATACAGTCTGATAGTAATCAGTTCCAGATAAACTCTGCCGTCCGTTTATTTAAAAAAAGCACTCTTACATTTATTCCTGTATTGTAGCCGAATTTGGAATATTTCGATGCCAGCCATAACCATGTCATCACCCTTGAGGGCATTCGGGCACTAAACAAACTGAAGTATTTGGACTTGAGCTGGAATCAGCTGAAAAAGGTGGGGGAAGAAATCAGCGTTTTACGGAAACATACCCCATCAGTGGTCAGTTTGGATATCAGACATAACCCGTGGCATAAGGTACGTCTCCCGCTGAACTTCAAAGGAAATGTTCATATCTTAAAACTGGTCCGTGTCAACCTTCAAGTAAGCTGCCATGGTCACCACCGAACGCTATTTCTGTGCTGTGATGAAGATGATGGCTGTACAGCTACCTACCAGTGCGAAAAAACAAAAGCACAATTTTGCAGGCCATATGAAAAAATCCGTATTAGTGCAACACCTTTATTTGTCCAAGCAAAAGGTCACCCAAAATGTGCAGAGTTTTGAGCTTTCTGAATGTTTTAATCATGCATGATGTTACAAAAAGTCAGTGGGTTGCAGTGGTGGGGAGGGAGATGGAGAGGAGAAACCCCGACTTGAGGGTCAGTTTGCCATGGCTGCATGTTCTGAGTCCCAAGATGAAGTGGAGAGGGGAGGGGTTTGCAGGCATTTTATTTACTTACTTATTTAATTTAACATTGTTATACGCTGTCCCAATACTAAAAGTCTGAATGGCTTACAAAAAACGAAACCCAAAAAACAAAGCAACCATATACAACAACAGACAGACTAATTAGGCTTGGTGATGCTGATAAGGTCGCATCTGGGGCTCTGGGGTCCAGAAGGGGGAAAATGTCAGATCTTCCACTTTAGCAATGTAACATTCAGGCGTTACGTAGATCGGCTTCCATACTAGGTGGAGCACGCAAACAGCTTTTATCAGTGGATCACAGAAAGAAACCAAGCAGTCTATATCTTCAGCAAGCGGGAGATACCTTTAGATGCTGCATCGCAGGGGTTTGGAACCCTTTTTGACCCAAGGGCTCAATTCCACTTTTGGGAACATCATGAGGGCCACATTCCAGTGGTTGACAGGACCAAAGGCAAAAAGATTGGACCCTAAACCCTAAAAAGAATGTATCTTTAACTTAGAGCGATTATTGCCAATTAATTAGCCTCTGGCAAGACATTTAATGTATTAGTATGGGGGTGAGAGCTCCGGAGGGCCAGAGTTGGCTGGGAGTTCCAGCCTCTCTGAGCATTTCTGAGCATCTCCAGAAAGACCACCACCTTCCTAGGCAGCTGGTTTCACTGTCTCCACTGTCTGATGGTTAGAAAGTTTGTCCTGATGTTCAGCCAAAATCTGCCTTCCTGTAGCTTAAGCCTGTTATTTTGCATCCTACAGTCCTGAATGACAAAGAACTGTTTGTGTGACAGCTGTTCATCTGCTTGAAAGTTCCTATCACGCTATCAGCCCCTCAGTCTTTTCTTCTAAGACCTAAACAACACCCTCTTCCTTCAGTCTTTCTTCATAGGATTTCGCATCTAGTCCCCAGATCCTCTTAGCTGCCCTTTCCTGAACGCCATCCAAATGATCTGACTCTTTTCTAAAGTGTTCTCCCCAACATTTGGTCCCGTAGTCAAGGGGAGCCTAGGCAGTGCAGGATAGAGTGGAATTGTTTCTTCCCATGATTTGGCACCCCAAAATCGCATCACCCCTTTCTGTTTGCCTTTCCCCAAGCCAGCCTGTGTGCGGTTAAGTGTAATAGGCCAGCTGAAGGCTCTGACACACCTGGATGGGATTTTGATCTCCGAGGAGGAGGCAACAGCCGCTCTTCAGTATATGGCAGACTCCAAAATCACCCAGGTTTGATGATAAGCATTACTTTTGTTTCTTAAGATGATGATTCCACATGGACCATGTGCCTCTCCTCGGGCATCATTAAAAGCAGTCTTTTCTGCAACTTCCTGGAAAACCTCACATACTATGGTCTGACTTAGGCTTTGTAAAGTAGCACTTATATGGAATGCCTTCCTTGTTCAGCTTGGATGGAAAAATTTAATTTGTATCTCGTTATTCATTAAGAATAGAAGTGTATTTTTTTGAGCTCAGGGGCCACATTCAGTTTTAAGAGTCCTACTCAGGGGCACAGTAATGATTGGTCCCAAGAGGGAAATAACAGGGCCACAACTACCAGAACTTCCAAAAATACCAGCAAATTTAAAGCTCTTCCTGGAAGTAATTAAGCCTTAAGAGAGGCATTCACCTTTTAGAATGGGAAAAGGACCTCAGAAGCTGGGAATTCATGAAACAGTGCTGGTCACACAGATGGGGCAGTAGCTATCTGGGAAACATCAGGTTCCTTAGCAGGCTAAATTTGACTGACATGCTTGAGGTTTCATAACTCTTATCAAGAGGGAGTCATTCACACATTGTACAGGAAAGATTATTTCAGTAAGTTATGGCTTTATGAACAGTACACGACTCTTCTTGGAACCTTGACAAATTGCGTTTGTGCAAGGCAGTGACCCCTTTCCAATGGTGAACATCCTTCCCTTGCAATTACTCAAATGTTTTTAGGAAGGCCCTTAGGACAAAAAGCCTCAAAGCTCCACAAAAACATTGAAATACAATGCATAATCTTAAAACCTAAAATCACAGTTTACCAAATTAAATTTCAGTTTGGTTCAGTGATATATGTATTAAATTTGTATAAAGGCTACCCATTAGCATTATTGTCTCTGGGTGGCCAGATCATATTATCTGCAATATGATCACAACAATAACAACCCAGCATTATATCATTAAGATCAGCTTAGAACACTTAGAAGTATTTCAGCATCATTTCAACCAGCAGCACTTTTAAAGGGAAAGCAACCTGGAATAAAGGATCTTTAATGCTTGGCTTGTGGGCCTGCAGTCAGGGAAGCTGATGGACCTCAGCTGAATGGAATTCCAGAGACATGGCGCCAGCTGCCAAGAAAGGCCTAGTGTCTTGTGCCGATCGTCAGAATTAATCCTATTGGAAGGCATACAAGCAAGGCCTCCAAAGTTGGTGTTTGCATATGAGCAGGTTTGGATCCTACTGGCAGGCTCATGACTGCACATAGATTACATGAAGCGGCAGCTCCATCTGGAATCTACATGCTTGGCTGTCAAAGTTTGCGTGGTCCCCAAACTCTGAACTGCACGACCCTTTGAAATAATGAGAGGTGATGTGATGGAAGGATGAAGAAGGGCCATAAAGAAAATATGGGTGAAATCAAGCCAGTCATCAGTTAAGATGAGCCTTATTGGTGGACAGACTTTCTTCCTCTGCCTCTTAGATATTGTAGAATGAAGAGTATTCCCTTGCCTGGTTATTCCTACCCAGTAATGTACAAAATGAGTGCGCTTGAGTTTAAACAAAAGAGGTGTCAGATTACAAAATGTTTCCATGACCCATTTGATTGGGTTGTAATGCACAAAATTGTACCTTTGCTTGTAATTTCTTGTGTATTTAATCTGGTGGTGCTTTTCATCAGGTATCTTTGGTAGAGCATTCTCGGACAGACGAAGAGAAGCTGCGCGTACTTAGCATCCTGCCTTATGCCAAAATCCTGAGCCAGATTAGCAAGAACAGAGTGGATGTATTCCAAATCAACTGGTTTTCCAGGGTAAGGAGAGCCACTATCCACTTGTTATTAAGGCCTCACTTCTTGGTTTTATGATAGTAGGCCCATGGATGGTGTTTCTATACATTTGGGGGGGGGGGGGGATTTGGTACTGAGTCATCTGGTTGGCTCCAAGAAGGCAGGTGCTGAGCTAGATCCAGGGTTGTCTCCCACAGCCAGCTGCCCTTTCATGCACATCTCCCCCTTTTTCTAAGAAACTCGGGTTCACCCTTCCGCTTCCCCACTTTTATTCTCGCAACAGCTCGGTGGGGTAGGGTTGGCTGAGAGCAGGAAAGTGAAGGTCAGGCTGGAATCCAGCTCCCTTTGAGCCTGCCTGTGCCTCCCCACGCTTGGTCCTGGCCAGGGAGCAAGCTGAGCTAAGTCAAGTCCACACCTGCCCAGCAGTGCTGGGCATTGCGCAAACTGCGGAAAGCCTGCCAGTCAGATGTGTGCAAACAGAACTCTGCTTGCACAATTGGGCATCCAGCGGTATGTGCACAAGCCACCCTTGCACACTCGCTCGGCCTCACTTCCTGCCAGGTGCTCACCCAAATGTTTGGCGTGAAGTGAAAGCAGAGGAAGCACACCGGAGTCCAGAGCCCAGGAAATCCAGCTGATTCCCAGCCCCAGTCCAGATTCCGAACATGTTCCTAGCCGAGAGATGGTGAATACCACAGCGTTGCCCCATGAGCTTTACCCCTGAAAGGGGGTCCTCAGGCAAGTCTCTCCAGTCCTAGCAATTGATACGCTGGGCTATCTCACACTCACCCCCTCCTTCTCTCAGACCCGACTCTCACTCGCCTTCCTCCTGCTCTCTATCCCTGCCGAAGGCGCTGCTGTTTTCCTGCCACGTTGAGCAACCCAGCCAGCTGGACAGGTTCTTTCTTTCAGCTCGGGGCGGGCAACTGTTTTGTGCCCAAGGGGCAAAGGTTCTTGGTGGCACATCCCAGAGGTTGGCAGTGCTGAAAGTGAAGGGTCTGGGGCTACCCTTCCGGTAGGTGTAACCAGTGCTTTTTTGTAAAAAAAAAAAAAAAAAGTGCCGGAACTCACATCACCGCCGGCAGTGAGCACTGAGCACGCGACCACCCACACCGATCCCAAGCCGAGCAGCGTCCCAAGCCGGTGGCGCGGACACAAAAGCAGCCCGCAGGCACTACGTTAATGACGTTTGCTGCTGACTTGCTACGCCGACCGGCGATTCCAAATCACTTCGTAAAATCCATTGGAAAAAACGGTGCCGGAACGCCATTCTGGTGCGTTCTATGACAAAAAAAGCCCTGGGTGTAACCAAGGGACAAAGGGGGGAGAGGCTGTGAGTCAACAGGAAGGGCCTGCTGTCCAACAGATCCAAGAAGCAGAGGGCAGCAGGCGCCAGACTACCACAGCCTGGCTGACTCCTCTGGCTTGGTAGGCGGGAGGACCCAAAGCCCTTCCTCCCCACCCCAGGGTGCTCAACACTGGGATCAGACGGGGGCGCAGGCATTCCTGGCCCCAAAGAAAACCATGGAGGATTTCCCTGAGGGGAAACCTTACAACAGTTTGGCATTTTACTTTAGGGGGGAAAGGTGACACAATAAAAGGCTTATAAAACAATGCAAGGTACATGTAAGCAGGGGAGAGAGATGCTTCTTTCCTCCTCTTTCATAATGCCAGAATGTGGAATATCTAATGAAACTCTCTGGCAGGAGGGTCTGGACAGAGAAAGGGATGTCCATAATTAATGAAATTACTGCCAGAAGATGTGGCTTTGGCCACTGGTTGGAAAGGGAATTGGATGAATTCATAGAATTGAATCAGCCGTGACCTGCCGTGATGGGTGCAGGCAGCCTCTGGGTTCAGAGTCAATGTGCTCCATGTCGGAACATGTGAAGATTTTGTTTGTGTGATGCACACAGAATCACAGGCAATATTCCCAGCCACTGTCCCCCGTGACCACTCAGGATTCCTAGTGCATTCCATAAAAAAGCCCACTGATCAACACAAACCCAGGGAGAACCTCCGGCATCCTGACCTGCCATAATCCGTGTTGTGACCCATCACCCAGAATCATGTTAATCTGCCAAGAAGAAAAGGTTAAAAGCTCCTCTGTCAGTTCGATTTGTTGTGTGGCATACAGCATGGCTAGAGGAAGACACATTTGCACCAATGAGCAGAGCGTCCTGCTCTTTGTGCATCAAGAGAAGCGCATTTACAGGAACTGCCACAAGAAGCAAACGGTTCAGCCCATGCTGCCGACATGACACTGTGTGACATCAGTGCCAAAGGTGATTCCTACTGAGTCAGGACATGGCCTTCTAGGCACAAGGTTGCGTCCCAGCAAGGAGAACGGGGAAAAAAATTGTGTAATTTTTTAATCTAGTGATTTCAGGAAGGTGGATTCAAATCCCACTTGTACTGAAAAATCTTTGGAAGTCTCTCTCTCTCGCTCTATCTATACCTCATAAAATAGTAGAAGATGTTTAGCGCCAACGCTTCCTCCAGGGAACTTGAGTTGCCCTGTTACTGCAAGGACAAATGCAGAAGCAGCTATCAAAATGTAATGTACTATCCTGATCTTGTGTGTGTTTTTAAAGACACACACACACACAAATGTAAACATAATTTAAACTTATTTGCCATGAGGTCCCATGTTTGGCGATGCTCACACCCACATGAACAACCCATGGTTACTGTTCACAATGTCATTGGTAGACTGGTTCTTCTAAGACAGAGTTGCAACCTGGTTGGGTCATACGCAGAGTTGTTTTCTCGTGCTGGAGATCCCATGGGAGGCAGGACTGTCCAAAGAGGGATAGAGGGAGCTGCTTTGTTTTGGACTGTCTGACCAACCAGCTTAGTGTCATCTCCTCTGATTGCCAGCAGCTCCTATGGGTCTTGGGCAGAGGGGAGGCCTTGCTTATCCCTTGCTACCAGATTGAATTGGAATTGGCAGGGCAGAGGCTGAACTGAGGCCTTCACTTTCTGAGCACTTGCTGAAGCTGAGCCAGCATAAATGTATCAAGCATTTAAATACCGGCTTGGCTGCACTTGTCTGGTTCATAGGCCCACAGTGTTGAAGTCAGACCGGCACAATTTACCAGGCCAGTCACAGACCACTGTCGTCCCCCAGCATCTTTTTGCAGCCCAGTCACACTCAAAGAGAGGAGCACTTTCAAGCCCCCAGTAGGTTTTTAGATGTGATTGGCAGGCAGCATTGAGATGGATGGGTTCTAATTATGCAGGGCTGTTGTTAGACCATTCCATGAGCTCAGCATAGGAAGCAAGCCAGAGTTGTTCTTCCCTTCCCATTTCGCTGCTGCTCCTGCTGCATGTCCTCCAGACGTGTCGGACTCCAACTCCCAGCCTTTCCTAGCCAGCCATGCACCACTGGAATCCGTACTGCAACCCATCTGGAGGGACCCAGATTGGGGAAAGCCAGTGTATCGCCTGTACAGAATTTGAATAGCTGAGAGATGAGAGTTTTGCCTTTTCTTTGGCAGATCACCGTGTTAGACCTGGACGGGCAGCATCTCTGCAAAATCAACGGTTTGGAAAAACTGGAGAGTTTGAGGTGGGCATCCTTTAGCAACAATAACCTCACAAAAATAGAAGGGCTGGACCACTGCCATAATCTGGAGGAGCTGACGCTAGATGGAAACTGCATCACAGCCCTCGATGGTAAAGTATGGGCATGCTCCATTCCACCTGTTTGCTGGACCAGCCTTTGGCCCAGGTGGTTCTGGCCAGATGCGCTTTTGTGCAGCTGCTTTCCTGAGAAAGGCCGCTCTGGCCACGGCTGCCCCCTGCTTGCTTGGAACAACTGCAGTCTGCTCTGCTGGGGGCCTCTTTTAAGAAGTGGTGTTCTTAAAAGAGATACCCAGCCGATACCCAAAGGCGGAACCGGGCTGCTTTTGAAGGCCCCGTGTTTGGACCCTGACACTCCACTGCTCTTTCAGAACTCCCCCCTCAGAGGTACATAAGCTCCTGCCTGGTGCGCCAGTCCAGCTGTCCAGGGCTCCTCAGAAGGCCATGCGCCTTCCCTTGGTCCTTCCCGCTGCAGCTCAGCCACTGGTCATTTGATGGGGCCCCAGCTTTTCTGCACTCCTTTCCCCATTCTAAAGGTTACAATGTCTCTTCTATACCTCAATTACTGGAGGCAAGAGCTTTAAACTGAAAAATGTTGGTATGCCGTTCCTGCCCCCCTTTCTTGGGCTCTGCCACCAGTGAAATGCATCCCTTAGAGTGCTTCCATTCCTGAATTTGCCCCTTGGGCCAAAAGAGATTCTGCATCTCCTCCATATGTGGTTTGAACTCAATATATCTTAAGGACCGCCTTCTCCCCTCTGAGCCCACTTATGTGTTGAGATCATTTACCTACTTACTTATTTACTTGCATGTATTTATAGGCCGCCTAGAATTGCCGAGGCCTTCCTAGGCAGCTTAGATCATCCTCCCAGCAACAGAGGAGGCATTGTTGATGTGACTCAGGGTTGAGTTCACAGACCTGAGAGTCTTAGGAATAAGGCTCTCACTTCAGGCTAAGCTGAGCAGCAGTAGAGTTCAGTGCCATGGTTCTGGCCTTCTTTGCATACAGCCAGATGTGAGTGTCTGCTCTTTCTTGAGAAATCCCCCTTGCTCTGCCAGTCTAGTATAACTCCTGGGGTGGAGTAGCCCAGGGCATTGTGAAAAGCTGGTTTGCCTCAAGGATGAATCTAGCACAAACCGTACATCCTCAACATACGGTCTTTTCCATAGTGGCACCCAGGTTATGGAACTCCCTCCCCATCCAAATTTGTACAGGTCTCACTACTTCATGTCTTTCACTGACCTGGCCAAGCTATACTGTTATGCTTGGATCTTCATTATCGTACTTTGCTGCTCCTTGTTTTTGTTTTACATTTTAACAGGATATTATTGTAGGGTGGGGTTTTATTTTTGGTTTGCAGAGTGTAGTTACATGTTTTTAGTCTGTGAGCTGCTTTGAAGATTTGTGGTGGAAAAGCAGCCTGCAAATATAAATATAAATAAAGTGAAGAAACATGTTCATTTGTACATTGCCTGCAGCAGTGGAATCAATGATTCTCCTGTACCATACTGGCGAGCCTGCATTATCCTGTGTTCAGCTTCTCCATCCTCAGTTCTTTCTGTCTTTGCCTCAGGGTTCCTGTCCTCTTTTCGTAAGTGTTCTTATTTTGCTTTCCCCAGGAATTTCAAGACTCTCCAAACTCATGCGACTGAGCGCCAACAGCAATCACCTCACCAGCTTGGAGAGAAATGTTTTTGATAACCTAACACACCTCCATTATCTCTCTCTTGAGAACAACCGGATCACGTCGCTGGTGGGCTTGCAAAAAGCCTATGCGCTCATTGAACTCTACATAAGCAACAACTATGTGTCTTCTAACCAAGAAATATATCAACTAAAGGTAGAGGTGGGGTTGCGTTGCTGCTTTAAAAGCCTGAACAAAACTCACATGGGTGTAGAGTGAAGTCTACTGTATGTTGAGGCAGAGATGTTAAACCTCTGGACAGAGTAATCCTGCCCTCCTGGGCCAGGAGGAATCCACAGTTCCCTTTCTTTGTCTACCCATCCGCTGCTGTTGTCATTTTTATTTCTTTTTAATGTATGATACACAGAATCTAACACACATCAGAGACCTGAAAGGAAGGTGGAGGGAAACCTGGGAAATGCAGACTTGTTGTTATGTCCCATATCATCAACTCTATAACTGAGAGGGCAGCTTCATGTTACTAGGCTGTTAAAATCTATTTATTTTATTTATTTAGTAAACTAAAATCTACAGGAAAAGCCTTTTTCTTCACATCATCACTCACAGTGCACCATTTATGGAGTCCATAGGAAAGGGTTTAGCACTATATTGTTTCCAAATTTTGCAGTTCTTTCAGAGTTAAGAGCAGTTCCCACTCTGCTTTTCAAATTAATAAATTAAGACACACCTTTTCAATCTGGCTTTTTAAAGTACATCTAGAGTTTTCCATATTGCATTCATATGATTTATTCTGTTGTTTTATCTGATTTGTTGATTCTTGTGGAAGAGAATATTCCAAATAAATAAATTGCCTGAGGATTTTGCCCCCCCCCCCCACTTAATTGTCAGGTTAATTAAGAGTTGGCTATGCGTTGTTTCCTAGGGGCTAAACAACCTGGTCATCCTGGACATGTTTGGAAATCTGATTGTTTGGAAACAAGAAAACTACCGGTTGTTTGTCATTTTCCATATCTCATCTCTGAAAGCCTTGGATGGTGTTGCCGTGGTAAGTTGTTTCCTGGAGATAGGCTTTTAAAAAACAAAAACATGTTTTTCTTCTAAGTAAAGATGGTGACGTGTGCCAAACAGAAAGTACAAAAACAGTGCCAGATATCAATTCAATACCCCCAACGTTAGTCAGTCACAGCAAATTCCAAACTGGGAGTGTCACTCATACCCACCGGGGGCGGGGGAGTGGGGGGGTATCCATAACAGCATTTCTCCCCCATGGCACTTGATCTGCCTTTGGCACTTCTAGCCCCTGTTATTTCTTGCCCTGTTCGTTGAGGTTTCAAAGTCCACACTGCAAAGAGTAGCACAAAACTTGCCTGTAAGACCCTGATGCTGGGAACAATTGACGTCAAAAGAAGGTGGCGGCAGAGGATGAGGTGGCTGGATGGAGTCCCTGAAGCAGTCAGCGAGCTTAGGTGGACTCCGGGGGATGGTGGAGGACAGGAAGGCCTGGAGGAGTGTTGTCCGTGGGGTAACAACAAGTATCCTCACCTACAAAATCAAATGGGAGGCTGAGACTGCACCTTGAGGCCACAGGCTAGATTGCTTCTTGGGAGGCAGTGAGTCTAGTCCAGCCGTCCCCAACCTGGTACCCTCTGGATATGTCAAATTACAACTCTCAGCATGGCACAGTCTCACTTTGGGGATGGGGAAGGGAGCAGAAAAGGATGCAGCTGCTGTGAACAAACATAGGCCTAGGTGAGGACCCTGACTTGTTTCAAGCAGGAACCTTAGCTGGATGCAGTTCCTCCCATGATGCCTGAGCAGATACAATAAAAAAGAACACCACTGTATTTGGAATGAGCACCAAACTGCACCAACGTTTTATTTTTTTTATCCTGTAGTCGCTTTTTCACAACATGGCAGACACATGTGCATACAACTTGGCTCTCAGCCGTCTTTTAAAATGTCCTCAATACAGGAAACAACTGAAGTTGAAAATGCTAAAGATTTGTTTGGTGGCAAACTTAATGCTGATATGGTTGCAGAAAGACTGGGTCATTCCAACTTCAGCAAAATGCAAGAATTAAACTGGACAGCCTCCATGATCAGGTCAGCCAGTGCTGCAAAACACCCAAGGGAATCATTTCCCATCATTCTGCTGTTCTTAGGATGTCTGAATACCACCCTTTCCCCCTAAACCTCGTTGCCATGCCTGCAAGGGTGTACATGTGTTTAGGGACAGCATGAATCAGCCCTTGCTCAGCCGGAGAGGTGAGAAGGGGAGGCCGCAGGGGTTCAGCGGTACAAGCATGTGCTGCATAAGGGGAGGCTCCTGGCATCTTCTGCCGGCCTGTGGGGAACCCGCCCTGGGCCAGCTGGGGAAGCTGTTTGACCTGGCAAGAGGCTGCTTCCAGACCCCAGGTGACAGCATTAATTACATTACATCCACGAAAAGGAAAAAGCGGGGAGGCGGTTCCTCTGGGTGTCTTTCAGAGCCTGCTGCAGGGTGAGGGAATGTGCGTCATATTTAATTGACCCACCCATCCTCCTCTCACTGCCCTTCTCGTCCAATCCAGAATGGTGGATCTCGTGCCGGTGGACCATTTTACAAACATCACCAGCGTGAACTTGCAGAACAATAATCTTACCTCTTTCAGTGGTTTGATCTTTCTCCCTAATATCAAGGTGAGTTGATTTGTCGTGTTTCATTTCTTGTCTGTTGTGTGTCGTGAGCATACTTGTTGTGCTGATACAGGGGTCCACAGGGTGTGTGGGGGATGATTCAGACCTGGCATGGTAACAATGATCATATTTATTTCTTTCTTTCTTTCTTTCTTTCTTTCTTTCTTTCTTTCTTTCTTTCTTTCTTTATTTATTTATTTATTTAGAAAATTTCTATGCCGCCCCATTCACCGAAGCCTCGGGGCGGCTCACAAAACATCAATTAAAATATAATACATTAAAAATATAAAATGAATTAATATAAAATAAGTCACCCTGGCCAAAGAATAAAATAAGCAAATAATATTAGCAATTAAAATGACGTTTGAATAAAAAGGTCTTGGCCTGGCGCCGAAAAACAAATAATGACGGCGCCAGGCAGACCTCTCTGGGGAGCACATTCCATAGATTGGGCGCCACTGCAGAGAAAGCCCTCCTCCGAGTACCTACCCTCCTAATTTCCTTCATGGAGGGTTCCCGGAGAAGGGCCTCTCCCGCAGATCTCAGGGGGTGGGCGGGCGTATATGGACGTAAGCGCTCCTTCAGGTAGCCAGGGCCCAAGCCGTTTAGGGCTTTATAGGTCATCACCAACACCTTGAATTGGGCCCGGACTTCAATGGGAAGCCAGTGAAGCTGACAGAGGACTGGAGTCATGTGAACTTAACGCCCAGTCCCCGTCAGCAGCCTGGCAGCTCTATTTTAAACCCATTGAAGTATCTGGACCATCTTCAAGGGTAGCCCCACGTAGAGCGTGTTACAGAAGTCAAGGCGGGAAGTCACCAACGCGTGTGTCACTGTCGCCAGGCAGTCGTACTCCAGGTAGGGGCGCAGCTGATGGATCAGCCGAAGCTGAAGGAAAGTGCTCCTCGCCACCGCTGTCATCTGAGCTTCCAGTGAAAGCTCTGGGTCGAGGAGCACTCCCAAGCTGCGAACCTTGTCCCTAAGAGGGAGTGCAACCCCATTCAGGACTAGGTTCAATTCACCCTCTCCGAAGCCCGATCCGCCAACCAACAGGACCTCCGTCTTGTCTGGATTGAGCTTCAGTTTATTGGCCCTCATCCAGCCCATTACCTCGGCCAGGCACCGGTTCAGCACAGGCACTGCCTCACCTGGATTGGTGGAAAACGAGAGGTAGAGCTGGGTATCATCTGATGACTCCACAGCCCACACCTCCTGATGACCTCTCCCAGCGGTTTCATGTAGATGTTAAACAGCAAAGGGGACAAAATGGACCCCTGCGGTACTCCATGGCATAGCTGCCATGGCACAGAGCCATAGTCCCCCAGCACCACCTTCTGGAATCGGTCATTGATATAGGAGCGGAATCATTGCAAAGCAGTGCCTCCGACCCCCAGTCCTGCTAGCCTATCCAGAAGGATACCATGATCGATGGTATCGAAAGCCGCTGAGAGGTCCAGGAGAACCAACAGGGACGCACTCCCCCTGTCTTTCTCCCTGCACAGGTCATCGTACAGGGCGACCAAGGCAGATTCAGTACCGTACCCGGGTCTGAAGCCGGACTGAAATGGGTCCAGATAATCAGTTTCATCCACGAGAGCTTGGAGTTGTCCCGCCACCACCCGCTCCAACACCTTGCCCAGAAACGGGATGTTGGCCACTGGTCTATAATTAGTGGCTGTCTCTGGATCCAGTGACACTTTCTTCAGGACCGGTCGTATTACCGCCTCCTTTAAAGGGGCAGGTACCCGACCCTCCCTCAGAGAGGCGTTAACCACTTCCAAGATCCAGATCCCAATCCCGTGCTTGGAATTATTTATTAACCAAGATGGGCAAGGGTCCAATAGGCAAGTGGTGGGACGTACTCATCCAAGCACCTTGTCCACATCATCAGGCCGCAATAACTGAAATTCATCCATTAATTTTGGACCAGACGGCAGCATTGGTGTCTCCCCAGAAACCTCTGAGTCATTAGTAGAGTCTAGCTCGTGATGAATCTGAGCGATTTTCTCCCTGAAATGCTTGGCAAAGTTGTCACAGCGGGCCTTTGAGGGTGGAACCAGTTCTTTCTCAGGACCTGGACGAACCAGGCCTTGCACTACTCGAAAAAGTTCCGCTGGACAGCATTTTGAGGAGGCAATGGAAACGGAAAAGAAATTCTTTTTCGCCGCCCTCACCGCCACAGCATAGGCCCGGTAATGGGCCTGTCATACATCTTGCTAGTGATACGCTTTGTTCATTAGTAAAGATGAGCGATGTGTGAGGAATCTGGTTTGTGGGAGTGAGTCTGGTGGATTGCCTCAGCTCCCCCGACCCCAGCCTGGGTCCACCTCTCACCAAATGGCCACCTGGCAGGAAGTGAGCCCAAAAGGCCAGCTGGCGCTTGGGCTGCCTATGGGTCCTCTGTGCAAGTGAGTGAAGTTCTGCTTTTGCACACACGACTTTCAGGTGTTGCGTGCCATGTGCAGCTCATACAAAGAAGCCGCTAATATTCCCAAGCACTCGTGGACTCGATCTCAGTTTGTCTCACTTCCTGTCCAGGGCCAGGCCCTGGAAAGAAGTCCAGTGAGCGTAAGAGAACGGGATTCCAGCCTGATCTTTGCACCCCTAGTACAGCTGTGATACTACATGGAGAGATCAGGAGAACCTCTGTAAACTGGATCAGGCCCATTGGCCAGAGGTCCCCCACTCCTGGTCAGTACCCTGCTTTTCAACCAAGACTGGCCCTCAGAGCAATTTGCAGTTCAGGACCACATGAAGGTAAATGTATTGGAGATGTTGGCACATTAATGGCATTTGCTTCTGGCTGTTGAGGACACCGGCCGGTTTCCAGGCTTCTCTGTGTAGTCTTGGGAGGGCAGGCTTGTCATTGCAGGCCCAAATGGGCCAGAACAGTGGACCCATCTTTATTCCTCATTTCCACCACGCAAGACTCAATATAAGTAGCTCTTGGCCCTGTGCAGAATTCACTTGGTGACCCTCGACTCGCTTCTTACGTAGGTTCTGTGCCTAAACTACAATCACATTGAGTCAATCATCCCCCGACAAAAGCCTTCAAGTCACTTAACCAACAGGCAGCTACTGTACCAGAAAGTGACATCCAGCGGGTACGGGCAGCAAGGCGCTTCCAAAGGCAACAGGTAAAACAATGTCATTTCACTGTGAACGAATTAAGGTTGAAGAGAAGCATTGTGGAGAGTAATGAGGTGGATCCTGCCGTTTTTAATTCAGGTGTCCCTTTTTAAAAATCTTGGGGTGGGGTGGTTGTGCTGCTCTGTAGCAAAAGATTTGTTGTGTGATCACTCCAAGAACCACATTCATCCCTAGAGCAGTATGAGTTACTATTAAAAGATGCTTGCTTGTGGGGAGGAAAGCTGTGGCAAATCTAGACAGCGTACTAAAAAGCAGAGACATCTCCCTGCCAACAAAAGTGCGTATATTCAAGGCTATGGTTTTCCCAGTTGCAATGTATGGCTGCGAGAGTTGGACCTCAAGGAAGGCTGAGCACTGAAGAACTGAGGCCTTTGAATTGTGGTGCTGGAGGAGACTCCTGCGAGTCCCTTGGACCGCAAGGCGATCAAACCGGTCAGTCCTAGAGGAGATCAACCCTGACTGCTCTTTAGAAGGCCAGATCCTGTAGGTGAAACTCAAATACTTTGGCCACCTAATGAGAAGGAAGGACTCCCTGGAGAAGAGCCTGATGCTGGGAACGATAGATGGCAAAAGAAGAAGGGGGCGGCAGAGGATGAGGTGGCTGGATGGAGTCACTGGGGCAGTAGGCGTGAGCTTAAGTGGACTCCGGGGGAAGGTGGAGGACAGGGAGGCCTGGAGGAGTGCTGTCCATGGGGTCGCGAAGGGTCGGTCACAACTTTGCAACTAGCAACAAAACAACTGCATTTATATGCGACACTGCCTCCAAGGAGCTCTGGGTGACATGCACCATTTCTTGCACTCTATTTTGTCCTCTCAACAACCCTGAGAGGTAGGCTAAAGCTTGAGAGCAGGAGTGACTCTCCTGAGACCTCTTGGTAAGCATCACAGCTGCACAAGCAGTTCAACTTGGATCTCCCCGGCCTTGGCCTGCCATTCTCACTGCTTGGATATTTTAAATAATAAACTATCCATTAACATTCCTGCTGTGCAGCTCTCAAAGAAAAACCTATTAAAAGTAGACGGCCCAATTGAAGATTTGAGAGACCCCTACTCTGACAGGTGGGCAAACATTTACAGAAATAAGCATGCATGGATGTGGGGATGAGGAACAAGTCTGGCAGGAGCCAGCGTCTGGTTCTCTGATTCATATGTCAGTCATTCCTGGTGTAAAGCTGAGCTTGCAGAGCAGCTGGAGCATTTGCTGTCGATTTTGCTGTTCTGCTTGTCGTGACCCACAAGTCCCATGTTCCATTGCCTGAAAAGATGCTGCGAGACTTGGGGAAATGCAAGGACCCTGTTAGTCACACCAGGAAGAGGCCCTCTCTGAGCCTTCTCTCCTCGTGCTGACCTAATTTGTCCCCTGGACTGCCTTACAGAGGCAAGTTCTCCCCTGTGCTTTCTGTCCCACTTCCCTCTCCATGTGCCTCAGGCCGTCACTTTTGCCGTCCTGGCCAGTTCTTGCACCCACCAAACGTATAAGAGTTATTGTATACCTCCCAGGATTTTTTAAATAGAAGGGCAGGGTAGAAGCATGGCTTTCTTTAAGTCATACTGGCAAGCTGTTGAAGTGTGAGGTATAAATAGTTTTAAATAAATTAAATAAATAAATGAATCGCCTCTGCCTGTGAAATATATTTTTTAAAGTTTCTTTCTTGGTTTTCTGCTTCACTCCTTCAAACATTTACTTCCTTGCATGCTTAATTATATAGGTTTTACCTTATATAGGTAATGCATTATATAGGTTTTACTTTGGTTGTTTTTGTTTCTTGTTTTTGCCAGCTTCACAAAGTCTTCCTGCTTTTCCATTCACATCCTCTCTTCTTTTTTCTCCTATGTTTTAGACTATGGATGCACTGTTCAGCCTTTTTTTTCTTCATGGATTTATTCTAGTAAGAAAAGGTTTTACATAAACATTGAGAAAACCCAGGAGGGTTGCAAACTGAAAACATAATGTCCTCATTTAATTCAGGGCAGCACCTAGAGCTTATCCAATTTTGCAGTTTTGAACCAGTACTGTAGTAAATATTGGCACTGCTATTTCCAGTCTGAACTGATTAGTTAGAAAATTCTGGGACTAAATGCATGAAAAGATACTCTGCATTAGGATTTCTTGATTTCATTCCAGCACCCAATCCCACACAACCAGGGCTCTTAAGCACAGAGGGCAGTGTTTTTTCCAAGACTAGTCCCATGGGAACCGTGTTGTGATGCCTAGCATTCTGGGAAGTGTTTGTGCCAGGATGCAGAGTGGTACATAGTGGAACATGGAGGTTCAAGTCTCAAAATAGAATGCTATAATCAAGGGACTCACAAAGTTATTACGGATGCTGTCAGACCAGGATGGGATGCCTGAAACAGGAGACCTGTGGTCTCCCAGGTTAAAACCCAAATGCAACTCTTTTGAGGCAATTGATTCCATTTGTCATTTACATCTGTATCGACAGTGAAAATGTTCAAGGATGCTGTTTTATATACATCTTTTTGTAGCTTGAGCTCTGTTTCTGAGACCAGGAGATGCATGCTTATAGAGCAGATTTAGTAATGTGTTGGTCTTCCACTGTATTAAAGAAGAAACATAAAATCTGAAACATAAGCAGATGAACAGGTGTCAGAATGTTTGCCATATAGAAAAAGCAGCCCAGTGATCATAGATTTCAGTATTCCATGGGACAACTCAATTTATCTGGTTGATTTGGGAAGATTGGGAAGATGTCTTACTTTCTGTGAAGTTTTGTTCTTCAAAAGCCTTGTTTCTAGAATGGTTGCTTCACACTGTTTTGATTTTTGCTTGTACTAGCTTTGTACATTTACTATTCGTACGTCAGAAAAGACAGAAGTTGATGTCGGACAGTTGTTACTGAACTAAAACCCTAGTACCCCAGATCACTAAAAGCCTGTATTACCCGGTGACACCTTGTGCTGGGGAAAATGAGTAGGAGCGGTTATCGGATAGGCCAGGTCTTCCCTCAGTACTATAATTTCATTTTATAGGGAAGAAGAGATTAGTCTAACAAACCAAAACTCAGGTATCCTTTGCAATTCATATTCCTGTTAATTTTGGAATGGAATCCAGTCAAGAAAGGCAGACAGAAGTATGTCTGCCAGCAAATATGATAGTGAAAATAACGTTAAAACTGCACTGAATTGGGCAAATTGCTTGCAAAAATTATACAATTGGCAAAAATGCATACAAAACTGCATGTAAATGGAAAAATGCACACAAAATAAGTACAAACTGTCATGTGAACTTCTAGAAAATAATCTTATACTTCAGAACAAATAAAGTTCACAAATAAAGCAACAGTTCTTAAAGCTGGGGATGAACTGAATTGAAAACTGAGATTAATGAATTCACCCATCCTTATTCAGACCAAATAAGATTGTTTTTCCTGGGAATCAAAAGGTCCCTCAGCTGAGTAGCCTCAACTGGAAAAGTTTTGCACCTGAAAAGAGCAGCAGGCCATGCTCCATAATCACGAGTAGAAGGACTCTAGCATCCCAACTCAAATGGATCTCTCAGCCAAAAGTACCTGATCCTGTCTAATTCTGGAAGCTAAGCAGGGTCGGAACTGGTTGGAATCTGGATGGGAGACTTGAGGAGGCAGCTGGACCCAATGGCCTGCTAGGTCCCTTCCAACTCTATTATTCTATGATCCTTCCCATGACAGAAACAGAAGCCAATTTTGGCTGGGGAGGATCTCATTTCTAACAAGAAGCTTGTGCACTTCTGGGGCATATGATTTACGGGAGATTCTGTGTCTGAAAGTACTTGCTTCAGTCAGTGTCTAGAAATGGAGCCATTCCCAGGAGGCGGAGCTACTTTTAATTATAAGTAGGCATGGTAGCTTCCATCATCTAGATCAGCCAGCTTCATTTGGTAAGCAGAGCCACTTTCGGCCACCCGGTGCTCCCGTGTTGTCTGTTCACACATAGTGAAAGAAGGTGCCCATCTTCAAAAAGGCATTGACTTCACAATCAAACCATGCTGGTTGCTGACTATCTGGAATTTACAGGTGTTCGGAGAGAAGCTGGTGTGTGTGAATATAGCCAGGTTGCTAAATCAAGGCCTAGAGATACGCAAAGGTCAAGCACAGGTTGTCAGCAGCTACGTAAGAAGAATGCAAGCGCTTCCTTGCCCTCACCCCATTGTTCCAGACACATAGCCTTTCATGTGTGAACATCCGGCTGAGCTGCCCAGCCTTTCCCCCACCCAGTGAGTCAGGTGTGCGTTGGTGTTTTTGTGCTTTTTGCCAATACACATAGCGGAGACAACATATGGTCCTGCAGGTCTGATATCTTTGAAGAAGCCTAATCAAGCTTATCAGTCGGAGTATTAAATTCTTGAGCCCTTTAATTAAAAACTGCTTAATTCCCCTGTCTGATACACGGAGCATTGGTATCATCTCCCCCATCCTCCGCTTTTTAAGGCAATTAACAATTCCCTCTGAGCCTGCTTTACGGCCTTTTCTGTGTGGGGGCATTTTCCTAACAATCAGCACCGTAAATGTTTGCTCCGTACAGGTTGTAAGAGAATGGCATTGCAGTTAAAGCAATCGTCTTTTCAAAGGATTATCCATGGTGCGCATGCCATCTTCTCTCTCCTATCAGCCTCGCCCTGATCTATCACATTTTAGAGTATAACCAAAACATGGCAGCCTTGATGGCAACATAATAATGTGGGGGGGGGGTGTTTAGGAGAATAAAATAGGAGTGTGCCCAGAGGGATGTTGAGAGCTGTTCTCCAAACACTTCTGAAGTCACCAGTTTATTATTTATTTATTTATTTATTAAAACATTTTTATGCCGCCCCATTCGCCGAAGCCTCGGGGTGGCTTACATCACTAAGTTTGGGGAAGTCAGGTGTGTATCATGATAACAAGAGAATCATATACCACAGCTTCCTCCTCACTTAAAAACTAGAGGCTGTATGAATTTCCTTTGTGCCTGTGGAATTTCCAAATGTCCTTTCCTTTGGCTGCTCGTCCACTTAGGATAGCCCTCCCAACCTAGCGATCACCAAGTGTTTGGGCCCATTGACCGTGCTGGATGGGCTTGATGGGAGTTCAAGTCCATCCTGCTGATGATGAACAGCAGGATGGCAGAGGCTGATACAAGGAGATGTGACACGTGTTAGAAGTCACTCGTGGTTTACACCTGCTGCTGGGGGAGAGGGGTGCTTTGGGCCTCCTACCTCTCGCTCCCCCCACTCAAGGACAAGCGGTGAAGGGTCTGGGTAGGTGTCTCCGATGCGCCATTGCGCAATGCCTCTTGTGTCATCAGCGGGCAGGCGGGGGTCCACCTTGATGGAAGCCCACTGGGCTTTTCCAGTGCCTGTGTAGAGTTTAAAATGCAGTGTAGGAATGCAAGTGATGGGTTCGCCAACCCAAGTGCTCTAGCTACACTCCTCAAGCAGCCAGGACAGGCTGCGGTTTCTTGCTGGGTGCACGGCAGGCGCATGCCTGGGTGTGCTCCCACGTCATGCCTGAAATAGCCCCTGCTTGCTTGATCAGCTCCGACTGCAAAAATCAGGCCACCAGAAGCCTCAGAAGAACCTGCCGTTGGCCGAGCCATGAGTTTGCGTTTGCAAAGTGTAAAAGTACTGCATTTAGACATCTCGCTTTGCTTTGCCCTTGCTCCGCATGGCTGTCGCCCAGGGGTCATCATAAAACTTTTACTGAATAGATATGAACAGCAATTTCCAGCTGTTCCTTTTCTTCCCACCAGGCACTCTGCTGGGGAAGAGTGGATTTCCATGTTTACGCTTGAGGTCCACGCTGTAGATCCTGTAGGAGCTCTCTCACCCTTCTGGAAGAAAAGCTTTGTGTTGGGTCTTGACGCCCAGTCCTTTGAGTTGTAACAATGCTAAGAATATGCTTCTGGACATTTCTTCCCATGGCAGTTTTGTTGCCAAGTCTTGCCAATGTCTGTGCTTCTGTTTTGTTGTAGGGATGCGGGATTCAGTGAAACTTTGCCTCCAATAATGGAGAGTCTAGAAGTTCTCCACTTGGGCTACAATGGAATTACGAATTTGGCCTTGCTCCAGATTAGCAGGCTAAAAAATCTTAAGTTTCTCTTTTTGCAGGGTAAGTAGTGACATTTACCATAATGTTGCCATCTTTGTCCATACCCTGCTTTGCGGGGAAGTATGAATGGGAAATGGGGGGACAAGTGGCTTGGGAGCAGAGGGGATGGCATCTCCAGAAGGAGGACATGGCTGGCTGGAGCCCCCAGCCAGAGCACCTCGTATTGCAGCATTTTTTGCAGGGCTCGCTTGCAGCCCAGCTCATCCCAAACCTCACTCCGCTCCCCAGCAGCGACCTGTAAACAAGGCCAGATTGTAGACGAATGGGCACATCGAGAATAACCTCTCCTTCACGCCTCCAGCCCCAGAGCTGCTTCCTGCTTCATGGGGCCGAGTGCAGCGGGCAGCTCCTGTGCTGCTGCTAGTCAAGTGCACCTGCACAGGGAGAAGCCCACCTTGCTTCCACTGCAGCAGAAGCTTTAGCCCTCTCCAGCATGCTCACACTTCCTTGACAGATTATCTTTGGAATGAAGAAGGGTGGGAATGCTTGTTCTTGGATGCAAACATACATTTGCCCGAGGGTGTTCCCAGGAGGACCTCCTGCAGCAACCAGCACCCTCAAAGTGCCTCCTGAGTGTCAGGGAGTGGTCAGATACTGCTCTGTTCCTCGTTTATTTGTCCTGCTGCCATCTCTGATCCAAACAGGCACTGTAGGTTTTCAAAGCAAAACCTTGCCAAACCTGTGAAGTCAGGTGAGGACACACAGTACGACTAATGTTGCTTTCCCCTCAGCACCTAGAAGCAGCCTCAGGGACCATGATCTAAGCCCAAGTATGAATAAAGGGTTTGCACCATGGCCTTGATCTATCCCCTACCCCCATGGCTGCTTTTTGACATGGAAATAAACCCATGGGAAGGAAGGTGCAGTCATGGAATTCCAACATAGCTTCTGTTCCCAGCCTTTGTCCAGGGAAACTGGTTGTCATGAGCTGATCTCCCAACCCAGCCTCTCTCCTCCTCCCTTCCCAGCATATCAAGACCAGGGACTTCTAGCTACAGTCTTTTACTATGTTATAAAAGCTTTGTTATGTTAAAGCTGGCCAGCCAAAATTATACAAAGACAGTAATGTAAAGGTTGCTGGCAAGAAGTTTGCACCAAGTTAATGAGCCCACTAAATGTGGATTGGGTTCTGTCCTTGCTAGAAGTTGATTCCAGATGGAATTCCCCTCCTCCCTTTTCTACCAAATGGAGTTAGCTTCACCCTCAGGGAGGTTCGCTATGCTTCTGGGCCAGAAAGTGGGAATGCTGAATATCACCTAACTGGCTCGATACCATGATCTGGTGCTGGACAGCTGGAATGATCAAGCTACATCCCTTCTTCCTGACCCTTCCTGTTCTGTACTGTCTCCCCACAAAATCAAATGTGATCTGGCTCTCACCAGCCATTTTGCTTATCCTGCCGGCCTTGTTATCTCAGCTCCAAATTCCAATCCTGCTGCTTCTTCCAGTTCAGATACAGAGTCCAAGGTAGCTTGAGGCTGCTAAATCGGACCAGGTCTTTTAAAGAGATGAGTGGTGCTAGAATCCAAAACCATGCATAAGGCTTTGTGTTGCTCTTTTGCTTGCTAGAGCAAAATACAGGCAAGCTCGTCTGCCTTCCTGCCCCACTCAGAGTTCCCCTCGTTACCATCCTATTCTGGCCAGCCTGGGAAAACTGACTCACTCTAACTTGCCCAAGAACGTGTTGCAAATCAGTTCCATTGGCAGATCCCCTGTAACTCCGGGTTCAGCAGCGCCCAGTGACACTAAGCTCTCACTGCAGCAGAGGCAGAACAAAAGCACATAAATAGGAAGGGTTCCATGCAGTATCTGTCAGGGTAGATCTTCAAATGCAAATGGGAGAGTCAGAGAAGTGTAGCATCTATAAAGGCAGGCGTGCGAGCGTGCATGCGTGTATGCATGCTGAACTCGTCAGTTGCTTTCTACCTCATCCATCGCCATCCTTCTCTGAAACTGGTGTTAACAGGCAATGAGATCAGCCAAATCGAAGGTCTTGATGGTCTGCAGCTTCTACAGGAATTGGTGCTAGATCACAACAGAGTGAAAACGATCAACGAGAATTCATTTGCCAAACAGAGCTCCCTGGTGGCACTTCACCTGGAGGAAAATCGGCTGCGAGAACTGAACAATTTACAAAATTTGGGGAAACTTCAGAAGCTTTTCCTTGGTCTCAATCGCATTCAGGTACAGTGTATCAGATGTGATGGTCTGAATGCAAAAGGTCCCACTGCCAGAGTCTGTATTTGGTCATCTTGCTGCTATGAGCTTTTATATCTTTGCATTGAACAAGAATCAGCAAATGACCAGCTTCAAACTAGCTGTCCAAAAATTTCCTTCTGCTCTTGTAGATATAAATCATAAAGTGGAATAGACTGAAACTCTTTCCTTTGTAAGGCTAAATTCTGTTTTGGAGAAGCTCTGGTTAGAGAGGTGAGGAATCCAGTATGGGGGAAAATCCAACAACTTTTCATGATTCATTCCCCCAGATCCTGGTTTGCCAGCCCTGTGCTGGTACCGACTCATGTGGTCAGTCAAGGTGGCTAGCGGACATCTGCCTCTAGGACAAGCCATGCAAATGTGTACAACTTCATGCCGATCAAACAAGCCATGGTATTTTGCATGTTTTATGTAACCTGGCACCTGAAAAGCATGTGGATCTTGCCTTATTTGCACACATCAATGCATTTAATGTAAATTAAGCTGCGTCCACATGGTTTGCTATGCACAAAATATGCAAATTATCATGATTTACGTACGTTACATAAGGTTGTGCAAATTGCCTCATGTCCATCTATTTCTTTAACAGATTTTTCTTAGAGATACAGTACAAGTTAGCTGGACCTCCCCTCCCTCCCCATCCCAATTTGGCCTATTTCTGGTCCTCAGATCTGAAACAGGCAGAAGTCCATCATGTTCAAACAAGCCCAGACCCCGCAGCTTCAGCAGGTCCCTGCTTCCCAGAATTCCAGCACTATGCATGACCAAAGGTAGAAGAGATGGACCAAAGTTCCAGCATATTTTAACTTAAAAGCACCTGCTGCCAGCAGCTAAGCCTCTGAGGGAACATTTCAACCTTTAAGAATGAGGGAGAAAATCTGCACAAGAGCTGTGAAAATGGTCAATGATCAGCTGCTGGGAGAAAGAGGGTGCAGACATTGGGAAGGATCTGGGGAAACCCTGAGGGCTAGACTAGGACCTCAGGATTTGGGCAGGATTTGGCCCACGGGCCAAAGTTTTTGCGTACAAGTTTAGTTAAACCTGGAATGAGCAGCCAGTTCACTGCAGCCTCCACATCACAATTCTCCCGCAGCCCTCATCCTGGCTTGAAGTAGCACAGGAGACTCTGCGTCACTTCTGGACTGGCAAGCAGCTCCCCCAGCTTGAAAAGAGAGGATGCCCCGTGATCTCAGGGGTGAGCCCCACATTCATGGTGGAAAGGCAACTTCATATCATGAAGTGATCTCCATTGGCATGGTGCTTACGTACCTCCTCTCACTCACAAATGCACTCCCGTGCTTATCTTTTTACAATGCAAAAGCTTTACAAAAAAAACTTTTAAAGTTTTTTGGTGTTTTAAAATGTTTCTTAAAAGGCACATGTTCAAAGAACTTTAAAAGCTCCTGAATATGACTGGATTTTTAATCTTGGGACAGGATTTGTCGGAACTTGAAAAGCTTGATTGCCTTTCTTGCATTAAAGAGCTCTCAATATATGGAAATCCTGTGAGTATACAATTTTGAAGGTCTACATGCATTAAGCTTTTGTTTATGTTCTTCTAGTTCAGTCTGTTCATACTCTTTCTGCTTAGTATATGCTATACAATATGCCAGATTGAGGCTGAAGTGCTCATAAGGGTGACTTTTGATACCTGCACTTATGAAGGGGTCTGAACCCACAGTTATGGTACTAAGCACAGCGTTGTTGTTGTGGTCCCATTTTCTTTGTACCTGAAACTGGGCACATCCATATAAGTTTGTGAGAGCTTGGAAAAGTTCTGAATGGAATCATAGAACAGTAGAGTTGGAAGGAGCCAGGAAGGCCATTGGGTTCAGCCCCTGCTCAGTGCAACACCAGGTTAAGCAATCCTCCTCGGATGGCTGTCCAGCTGCAGAAATGCAAGGAAACATGGTTATTCCTGTGGTGGCAGAATTGTGGAGGATCATCTCTGTGTCAGGATTCAAGGAAGGATGAAGCTATAAACCAGGGGTCTCAAACTCAACTTACCTAGGGGCCGCTGGAAGTAGAGTCTGGATGAGGCTGGGCCGCATCAAGTATTTCACCACTGCAGTGGTGGTGGGCCGCTCATCCCACGGCCGGCCAGGGCGCCGCCGGTGCTTTGAAGGCCGCAGGGCCCCTCCCCCGTGCCCTGCCCGCCCCGGCAAGTGGCCCACGGGCCGCGAGTTTGAGACCCCTGCTATAAACGGTGGAGGCACGCATTCAGGCTGGGATTAAGCATGTGGTTGTTGCTGGAAGTGGGAAGGGCGTTCTGCAGATCAGTGCCTGAGCAGTGGTGGCACCCTCTGAGGAAGGCCCTTCCTGGAGTCACTTGCCACCTTCACTCTGCGATTGTGGCTGCCAGGCTAAGACTTGTCTGTTTGCCCAGGCATATTAGTGATCTTTTAATCAACAAAGATCCAATACTTTTATATTCAGTTGCTTTCTTCTCTTTTCTGTTGTTAGTGGGCATTTGTTTAATGTTACATCTATGCATCTTTGGGGTTTACTTGCTTTAATCCACTTCCTTTGTGAGTTCTTTCTGTCTTTTAGTTAAACATTTATTTATATAAATATGAAAAACATGAATGAATGTACTAAATGAAATATGCCAAATGAAACATCTCAGAATATGGTTTCAGGCACAGGATGAGTTAGAATTAAATTCCAAAGCTGGAAATTCTCACATCCTATTGATGCTACATTTAGGGAATATTCTGGGTTACACCAATGCTATAAATAATAAATAAACTCTATTCAAAAGTCAGTCCAAACTCTATCCAAAAGGCAAGACTGAGAGCTAATCTAGGCTCTGACTTGGACTGTATGTGCATATGGCAAGTTACAGCTAATCCCAGGGCTTAAACCAGAATTTTTAGAAGAAATATGAAAAATGAATGTGATGATTTGGTGCCAGGGTTAACCAGCAGCTTCTTTCTCTGTACCGTCCAGGTGTCCCGCAAGATTTGCCACCGCCCACTTCTTATAGTCCGCTTACCTAACCTTCAGGTGTTGGATGGAGTAGCAGTCAGCCCGGAAGAGAGGGCAAGGGCTGAAGTCCATTTGCTAGAACAGCAAGTAAAGTTAAATTACTATAATTAACTTCTGTTTAGGCCTCTTTACGATTTTTGCTGGGTTTGAGCCAGATGCCGTTCTGCCTGTACAGACATTGCTTCTGAATGTTCTTTTCCTGTTTCCACTTTCCCTCTGAAAATCAGCACGCTTTTGGCACACATGTGGGGGCAGGTGCGTTTCATCACAAATTTGGTTCTGGCATCCGCGACAGTTCAGTAACGAGAACTCTTTAGTCCGACTCCCCAGCCCTCCCGGTGTGCGCTCTCCTAAGTCCCAAGGGTGGCATGTGGCCCCCTGGGCTCCTGTTACCTGCTCAGCACGATCATCGTGCGCACCAGCAGAACGCTTTCTGACAGGGCTGGCAAGGTCGTCTTGCCGCTTCTTCCCGTTCCCCTTTTCTTGTTTACCTTCCTGCAGCGTGAAATGACTTTGAATGTATTATTGCAACTTGCCTTTTGTTCTGGGAGAACCCAAGTCATCCGGAGAACCTAGTCATCCCTTCGGAGCTGATCTGACAGCTGGTAGAATAGAACAAGAAGGGATGCCGGGGGTGGGGGGTGAATGGCACACGGCCACAGCTCGGACACAGAAGCACGAGCGCTTTGGTCATGGGATTAGATTGGGTGAGGCTCTGAGAGACAAAGAGGTGAGCGTGAACAAGAGAGGAAGGAGAGCTTGTTCTTGTCTCTTTTAGTGCAAGACCAAATCCTTACTTTGTACCTGCAGGCCCACATCTTTCTCAAAATGTGTGCTCTGTAACATTTTTAATGCTGCCATATGCATCAGGAAGCCCATTTAATGTACACATTACGTGTGTACATACCTGTATGTACCTGTATGAGTTTCCCTGTTCGCTTTCTTCCACTGTTGAACTGTGAGGAACCTCACACATACAGAAGATTGCTGGATCAGAGTGACATGTTGTGGGTGAAGGTTCAGTGAAAGGTGTCGGTTTCATCAAATCCTTGCTGAAGCTGAGACTGTTTAGGATTGGTCATTGTCTGGATTGAAGACCACCTTGCGTGCCATCCTTCAAATAAGGTAGATGGCCATTCTCTGGCCAACACAGATTTTGGTGCCTGGAATGGTAGACCTGTTTCTGGGTATATTTGACCTGCTGATTCCAAAAATGGCACCATCAGCTCCAGTTTTTGAGAAGCAGCATAAATGCCATATGCCACTCTTCACTCTGGGTGCCCATCAAAAATCAGGATATTTGAACGCAGTGTTTTATTAAATCTCCTTATAGCATGGAAGAAACACATTAAAAATTAAAAGGAAAGTGAAACACACTAAATCTGCTTATTTCAAACCAAAAGCACAGATTGATGATACAAACATTCCAATCGTTCGACACAGAAGAAGCTCCTTTTGTAAGATTTCTGAGAGTGGGATCTGTTGGGACCATCCCGTATAATGTTGCAACAGTAACCTGCCATCATGTGCACATTCCTTCCTTCTTGGTTTCTGCCTTCCATTATACCTTGGTGCAATCTTTCAACTTGCGCTTTGCGTAAGTCACCAAGGGTCTCTGGAAAGCAATCTAAGTGACTATGCAGATAATGGATTTTAACACTCATTTTACAGCCAGGTCTGTTGAAATGAAAGAGCATCTTCTCTACTAATTGAGTGTAGTTGTCTGCCTTCTTGTCGCCAAGGAAGTTTTTCACAAAAAGAACAAATGAAGACCAGGCACAAGATTCGATTTCATTCATTATTCTGTGAAAAGTGGGTCATTTATGAGCTGTCTGATCTGTTAATAAATTACCCTTTAGAAACCAATGTTTCTGATCTAAAATTATGGAAGTACATAAACACTTTCATTATATCTGCTAACTTGTGTGCCGAAACACAAACTAGGTAACAGAAGAACAAGTTGATCAGCAAGATCTTTTTAAAAACTGACTTAAAAATTATATAAATTCTGCCATAGCTAAGAAACTAGAGCTGATGCAGTCTAGCCAATGCAATTTTCTGAATCAGTGTCCCAGAGAACCCCAAGAACAGGTCTAAAAAGCAAGGCACCAAGAAAAAAAGATAAATTTTTTTGGTTAACTGTGATCTAATTATAGTTTACATGATTCTGCACAATCTTAGGATTTAGTGCCAGCTGTCAAATTCAGCTTGCAATGCCTAATGGCCAAATAAGGCCAAACAGAATCTCCGGTGGTCAAGGTGGTCAGGTAAAAAGCCCTTCCACATACACGACACGTGTATGTAATTTGGCCTGTACCATATGTATGAAAGATGTATTTTGCATATCAACAGCTTTCTTAGATCTGGAATTCTCTCTCAGGTTAAACTCCACTCCCAGTCTTTAGCTTATGTCAGAACCTGTTCAGTGGCCTGGCTTGCATGTAACACTCGTCCTTGGTGTATGATAATAAGTTTGGTTTGCTGCTGTCTCCAAACCTAGGCCTGCCAACAAACCATGTCATCCAGCTTTAAACCACAAACAGAAGCCACAGTTTGCTGTTCACTTATGAAGGCCACTTTGTTGAATCCATGGCTCCTCATGATATCTGAACCCAGAACCATGGCTTATCCCTGCCTTGTTTGTCCATCCCAAAGCAGATGTACCTGGCAAGAACAGACTAAAAAATGCACTATGGGCTAGAAAAATGAGCAGGAGAGAGACAATCAAGAAATGGGTGGAAAATGTAATTTGTTTAGTCGTTTGCTAGACAATGAATGCCTAAAGCAACAAACCACAGTTTACATAAGCTGTGCCCTAGCAGCGCATGTGAATGCAACCATTTATGATGTCTCAGGCCCCGATCTCATGAAAACATGACAGAGTCCCTGTCATGTGTAAACCCGGCTGAGGCAGCCATGCGTCTGTACAGCATCAGCCGCTCGGTGGTGCACTGCACAAAGCGAGTGTGTTTTTGCCACTTGGAGATGCAGTGCTTTGTATACAAGACATCTAAGTGCTTGTGGATTGAATTGCTGCACGTTGTAAATGCTTTATTTCCAAACTGACCTGTGCTTTTGTACATTGGACATCACTTAAAAATAAAAAAAACATGGTAATATTAGTGCAGCTGCGAAAAGAGCGCGAAGGCCCCCCACTCTTTAGAGAGATCTCCTGTTTTTCAGAAAGCTTCAGTGAAGATGTTCTACTGTGTTAGCGGGAACAGAACTGAAGCATTATCTCATTAGGCCACTGAAGTGGAACAACAAACGATTTCTCGGTTTTCTCCGTGACATCCAAGCTGTTCTTCCCTAAGTGCTTGTTAGAAAGTTGAGAAGTGAAATCTTATAACATCACTTTAAAAAATAAAAGAGCTTCTGGTGTTAAACGTCATGAGAAATTTCACATACAAGAATGTGACTTAATTAGCACCTTATTTTCTACCAAAGCTACCAGAGGTGGTCCAGAGACATTTTGGAACTACAGACAAAAACCGGCCTCTGAAGTAGTAAAAACACCATAATAAAGAAATCATGTATAGATCATTCCCTTTGTTGATGGTTTCTCCAAAACTGGGACTATCATTTCTTCCATTCTGGAAGATACTCGGTCCAGATGGCCATCTTCCCTTGGTGTCCAATTTACCGCCATATCCATTTCCTAAATGTTTGGCTTGTGCCCATGTTACACTTTTATGAGATGAGTTCAGTTCATGACATCCCTTGGAGAAGCAAGGGGAGGCTGGCAAAAGGGACCGACATGAAGGCATCGCGTGGGAGAATACCGATCTTGTGCGTCATTCTGTGTGCTGTTTGCCTCGCTTATAGGATACTGTGGTGAAGAGAAGTTCACGTCCCGTCCAAGCGCTATATTGGAGTTCGAGTCAGGGCTGGTTGCAAACTGGGTTCAGGGACTAGGTTCTTTCCACCAATACCACATGGCCTGTTGTGTTTCCATTGTTCTTCCGGCCACGATTCTATTGAGTAGGGGCAGACCCTTCTTTGCAGACAAAGTCCAAATTTCAAAGAGTGTTTAAAAATGTATCAGGAAGAAGAATAAGGACCACTTTGCTCTCCACTGTTGAAGACAGAGCAGGAAACACAGGGCTGAAATACTGTGAAGTATTTAAGGAGCCCCCGTGGCAAAGCATCTCAGCCCCAGTGATGAAGTGCCAGCACATGAGCGAGTTTGGTGCCTGTGCAAGTTTAGCAGTGGGGCAAAGAGCCCAGGGCAGGGAGCTGTGTCCTCCCTACTCATTGTCACTAAGCATAAACTGTAAATTAATAACTAAAAGTAAATCCTCCACCTTCTCCCAGTAGTGCCCCCCCCCCGAAAAAAACCATGTTTTCCAGGCAACCAGTTAAGCCCAGTTACAAAGGTAGAATGGAGCCCGGTCTGTGCATGGCTGTCCAATGCATTACACTGCGTGCCACACACATGACCATCTGCCAGGTGGACAGAAGTCATACATGTGTGCTTGATGTTTTGAGTTCCTGGATCTCAAGGAAGATGTTTGTTCCTATGTAGTCAAGGCTGCTGACCTAGAGAAGCAGAGAGAGGGTGGCTGACAAGATCCTCGAGGACCAGATTGCAGGGTCCCAATTCCTGGGTGACTGCTCCTCTGCTGTCATGGAAAATGGGGTCTCTGGGAAGGAGCATGTCATTCTGAGGAAGAGGAAATGTTGCCTTAGAAGGGACCTCTTCCAAGTATTTATTTATTATTATTTTTATTTATTAAAACATTTTTATGCCGCCCCATTCACCGAAGCCTCGGGGCGGCTTACAACAATAAGTTAAAAATAATTATTATATTAAAAAATTTAAACATTAGGTTAAAAATACAAAAATACCAATATAAAATAAGCCGCCCTGGCCAGATAAAATCCAATAATATTAACAGTTAAAATGCCGCTTAAATAAAAAGGTCTTCACCTGGTGCCGAAAAACAAATAGCGATGGCGCCAGGCGGACCTCTCTGGGGAGCACATTCCATAGATTGGGCGCCACCGCAGAGAAAGCCCTCCTCCGGGTACTTTGCCTCCTGATGTCTTTCACAGAGGGCTCCCGGAGCAGGGCCTCTGCTGCCGATCTCAAGGGGCGGGAGGGCATATATGGATGTAAGTGCTCCTTCAGGTAACCAGGAGGATGTGTTTCTAGGGGATGGGAGGCTTGTGGTGGTAGGTCAGTCATTAGACACATAAATAGGTGTGTAACCTGCACGGGTTTGCATTTACTGGACTGCAACTACTGGACTGCAGTTACTGGACTGCATGGCAAATTGCCAGTCTGGTGTGAACAGAGTGGCACACCATCTCGATACTCTGGCAAACAGTGCTAAGGTGGAGTCTGTCGTCATCATGCATACTGCTGCCACCGACATCAGGAAATGTAACTGTGAGGTCCTGGAAGCCAAATTTAGGTTCCCGGGTTGAAATCCAGAATCACCAAGGTGTGGTTAGACAAGCATAGCTGTGGAGTCCCACCGCATGACCCAGATGGCCATGTAGGGAGGAGGAGTTTGGATCTGTTAGGCACCAGGAAACATTTTGAGACATGCCAGGCCTGCACAAGAAGGATAGGCTCCACTTGAACCAAAATGGGACCAGTCTGTTAGCACCCTATATTAAAAAGCTGACAGAGCAGCTTTCCAGCTAAGACCTGGTGGAAAGCCGACAGGAGTTGAGAAGCAAGGAAGCTGTTATAAGAAAATGGAAGTCTGGCCCAAATTAGGAAAACAAAAAGAAGCACAAGCTTGCACAAGGGAGATGCATGCAGGCTAAAACAGATGGGTTGGAAGGGGAGGGAGCTTACTGCTGACAACATCAAGGCCAGCAATAAAGATGTATTTATATCAGAAGAAAGAAACCAGCTAGAGAAGCAGCTGAGCCAACGAATGATAATGGAATCAGAAGATTACTAAACAAGGGTATGGAGATGGTTGATAAGCTCAGTGAATTCTTTTATCTGTCTTCACAGCAGAGGATACAGGGCAGGTATCTGTTCCTGAACATGTGTATTCAGGGAGGATTCTGAGGAATTAAGGGAGGCAGTGGTGATAAAGCCAGAAAATGGTTGAATGAAAATCGCAGCCTTATTGACCAACGGAAAGTTAATAAACCAACCGGCCCAGGTGGTGTCCATCCCAAGGAGCTCAAACATGAATTACTGTCCTTTTTGGATAATGGGCAACCTGTCCCTAAGATCAGTCTCTGTAGCAGTGGACTGGAGAAAGGCCAATGTAATGCCAATTTTTTAAATGGGATCTGAAGACAGGAGGCAGAATCCAGGAAATTACAGGCCAACTAGCTAAATGCCAGTTATGAATAAATTGGTTGACAGTGTTATTAAAGATAGAATCAGTAAGCATATGGATGGACAAGCCCTGCTGAAAAAGAATCAAGGTGGCTTCCATAAAGGTAAGTCCTGTTGCACTAACCTATCAGAGTTCAAAGTTTTCTGACCTTCGGGAAAAAACTTAGTAGTTGCAGAATGAACAGGAGGTTATCTTACGGAGCTGTAACTTGTTAAAGACCAGAGAGTAGAAATAGGAGATAATGTTTCCCATTGGAGAGAGGTGAACACTGGGGTTCCACAGGGTTCTGCACTGTGACCAGTGCTTTTCAACCTATCGATTAAGTGATCTGAAATTATTAGGGGTGAGCAGTGAAGTGGCCACGTTTGCTGATGACACCAAGCTATTCAGAGTGCTTAAAACGAAAAGGGATTGCGAGGAGCTCCAAAAGGATCTCTCCAAGCTGGGAGAACGGGGTCAAAACAGCAAATGTGTTACAGTGAAGCGAGTGTAAAGAAATGCGCATTAGGGCAAAAAACCCCAACTTCAAGTAAGGGCTGATAGGCTCTGGGCTGGCAGTGCCTGATCAAGAAAGGGATCCTGGGGTTGTAGTGGGCAGCTTCAAAGAAAATGGCAGTCCCGTGTGCAGCTACTATAAAACAAATGAACGCCTTACTAGGCACAATCGAGAAGGGAAATGGAAGTAACACTGAATATCATACAGCCTTTATACAAATCTTTGCTGCAACCACACTCAGGAGGTTGTGTCCAGCAATGGTTGCTGCTCCTGAAAAGGGCCATTATTGAGTTGGAAAAATGCACAGAAAGGCAAGTAAAAGGATGAAATAAAAGGGTTGGGGCAGCTCCCTCATGAGGAACAGCAAAAACAGCTGAGCTGGGTGGAAAAAAGGCAGGCAGAGGGGTTTACACATGGTGTGGAGAAAGTGGAGAGGGGTGTGTTTTTCTCCCTGTCCCATAATAGAACCCGGAGTCGTGCCATGGAGCTGGTTGGTGGGAGATTCAGGACCGGAACAGTGCTTCTTCACAGAGCACATAGTTCAGCTGTGGAATTCACTGCCACAGGAAGTAGTGATGGTCACCCATTTGGATGGTTTTAAAGGGGGGTTGGACAAATTCGTGGAGGAGAAGGCTATCACGGGACACTTGTCTTTTTTTTTTTTAAGTAAATTTTATTATTATTTTCTACAAACTAAAGACACTAAAAAAAACATCAATCATCAGAGACATCAGACCTGCTGGGTTAGCCCCCTTTTTTTTTTTTTAATAGCAATCCATAGACCTATTCAAATCTACGCATAGTCCCGTTTCTCTAGCCAATAATAAAAAAGTTCAAAGTTTGATAGAAGTATGTAACCTCTTTCCCCTTCAGAGACAAAGTCAGCCTGTCCATTTCAGCACAGTCCAGAATCTTTTTTAAAATCAGTTCATCAGTGGGTGGTTCTTCACTCCTCCAATGTTGGGCAAATACAATCCTTGCCGCAGTAATTACATGTAGAATCAAATACATTGCTTGTTTATCAACATCATCAGACACAATGCCTAGTAAGAAGAATTCAGATTTAAATATTAAAGATTTTTGTAACATTTCCTCAAGCCATTTATGTACTTCAGCCCAATATTTTTTTGCCTTATCACAAGTCCACCACATATGATAAAAAGTACCTGGTTTATGTTTGCATTTCCAACATCCATTTCACATATTTGGAAACATCTTTGCTAATCTATTTGGCGATAAGTACCATCTATAAAACATTTTATAAAGATTTTCTTTATATGAGGTTGCTAAGATTACCTTGATATTTCTTTCCCACAACTTTTGCCATTTACAGGACACTTGTCTCGATGGCTGTGTGCTGCTTCTGGTATTGGAAGCTGTATGCCTGCATGTACCACTTTCAGGGAAACCTGGGCAGGAAGCTTTAGGCATGAGAGGTCCTGTGGGCAGCTGCTGGTTTGCCACTGTGTGAATAGAATGCCGGATGAGATGGACCTTGGGCCCAATCCGGCAGGGCTTTCCTTATGTTCTTCTGACACTGGCTATTGCTCTAGAGCGAGGAGGAGCAGTAAACATAGACTATTACAATGACTGAAATGAGTCTCCATGGAATCCGTCCCTCTGGCCTTTGCAAACTTCCTTTGCACTTGGCCTGCTCTTCAAAAGTAAACCGAGCTGAAACGAAGTCCATGAACACTCATGGAATGAGAGTAGTGCCACTGCCAATTTTCCCCCACATCACATGCAGCTGCACAAATGAAGGCTGGTGCAGAAGAGGGATCCACTTGCGCACTGGTTGTGTAGATGCTGGACACGCTTGCCAGGAACCACGCACTCATGGGCACAGCAAAGTAACCCAGAGTAGATTCCCACCCAGACAACAGATTCCTTACATCCTTAGTCATAGTACAGATTTAGCAGTGTACAAGAGCGGGGAACTCGAGTCCATCTTCAGTGGGTACCATGGACTTAGCTTCTTGTCTGCCTGAACTCTTACGTAATTATCCCTCAGTAACCCTTTTTGTCTTCATAATTTTAAGAATGAGAGATGAAGCTTACTTCTTTGCCTCTTATCTCACCATGTAGGTCTTTCCTCCTGCTAACTCTCCAATAGATTCCGGATTCCCTGGACTGCAGCCTACTTTACTGAAATCATGCGCCATGAGGATGGCCAACGTGAACTTGATTGGTGGTGTGAATCATTTCTACGGGGCTGACTCTTTCTTTCCTCATTCCACGGATGAGCTGATCGGAAGTGAAGCTAACAAAAGTGAGTGTTCAATTGGCCACTGTGCTCTTTCTCTCAACCTAACTGAATACCAGAAGGGTGTGCCCTGCTGTGGGTCATTTCCCATGGATGCAGGTGACCCATTGTGATGCTGTTGGATAGCCTCAGACTGTGCAGTGGGGACACCCATCAGGACCACATGGTCTCAGACGATGGACGGTGACCTGATTCAAGCACTTCCTCCGACCTTGTCCCTCCGGATGGAGGTCTGAGTGGTCCCTTACAAAGCAGCTTTTGGCTAAGCAGCTCCCAATAAAGTACCTGGAGAGTGGAAAAGTCAATGCAAGTCATCTTGTAGGCAGCATTCTCCCACTCCAAGCCTACCTCATTGAACCCAATAAAAGCTGTGCCCATCTATTAGAAACATAGAGTGGGAAGGGGCCTCCCGGGCCATCTAGTCTGACCCCCTGCTCCAGCCGGCTCCGCTCATGACATGCCCACCATGTGCATGTCTAGCCTATCCTTAAACACCCTCCCCTTTGGGGCTTCAACCACCTCTTGTGGAAGCCCGTTCCATGCCCTCGGGGACCTGTCTGTCTCTTTTTTGCGAAGTACAAAGACCTCGTGTGGCTTGTGAAGTGTCATTTGTATTCCATTGAGGACTTGCCTCTATGGCACTTTGGGGTACCTTTAGAGTAGTCGTGGTTATATTAATCTTATTTATCACCATCAAGAATTCAGCACTGCATGGTAATTATGTTTTTAAAATAACATCCTGCAAACTTATGAAGTAAAACGGAGAACCATAAGAAAAAGGAAGGGGTACCAAAGAAGAGGGGAAACAGGCCTGAGGCAGCAAACTCAGAAAAAGCTCTATGTTTTCTGATGCTGTTTAAACTTTGTCAAGGGGAAAGTAACGCACATGCTTAGCGGGTCTAGGAAGTGAAATCAAATGAAAAGTGGTAGCAGGAGGATGGAAAGGTTGGAAGTTCAAAACCCAAGAAAGTGCCAGAAATTTAGTTAAGAAGAGTCATAAGAGAGTTTTGCTTTGGAGAGTAAATGGCTCCTTTCCAAGACTGGCCAATATGAAATACATGCAACGCATTGGGGGATCTGGAAACATCTGTCTTACATTTCCAAAAGCACGGAGGGGTATTCCTGAGATCGGACATGCAGGTACAAGATTCATCTCAATGCGATTTTATTTTCCTGAGTTGGCCAAAATAAGTGAAAACCCCAAATTAGTGCAGATGTCTAGAGCCACATGCATTTCATATGCTGGCCTTCTTTTGCTGAAAGCACCAAGTTTGGAGACTTTACCGTTTGACTTTCAGGCAAGAAAGCAAAGAATGCAGCAGCGGGGGCAGGCAACCCGCGGAGCAGCCACACGGAAGCCGCCAGCAGGCAGCCCAGAGGCGCCTCCGCCAGCCTTCCAAACCGCGGGACATCACAGAACGGTCCCTCGCGAACAGCATAGGTTTGCTACTCCACTGAGGAAGAGGAAGGTATGTGGGAGTTTATACAGCAATATCTTCTTGTTGTGGGATATTCCATTTTGGAGACCTTTGCATGTGGCTCCTTGAACCCGGTGTAGCACAGGAGAAGACTCGGGTGGGCAAAAACGACTCAGCCCCTTGCCAGTTCTTAGGTTGTTTCTAACCTGCTTTGCCCTCAAGGGACTTGGCGTGGCCTGTGCGGTTATTCCACGGAGGCCGAGGCTCTCCCTGGCTATTCGGCAGGGCTGGCATCAAGTGTGGGCATGCGTGGGCATCTGCTAAGGTCCACAGCCCACCAGGGAGGCCCTGACTACAGCCCCCTGGACTTGCTCCTCTTCTTCACCCTTGTGGCCTGCTCATTCACCTGCCTCTTGGTCTGGCCCAGACACCAGCGATGAGGAGGGGACGTGACGGCCTGGAGACCAGGCCTCTGGTGGTGAGGAGGAGCAGGAGCGGCTTGTGCCGGCAGCCGTGGGAAGGTGGGCTCCCTTAGGGAGGGGCCAGCGGAGGGCATCTTGCCCGAGGAGCCTCAGAACCTCAGGCTCGTGCTACTACTGGCCATGGCTGCTGTATGTATGTATGTATGTATGTATGTATGTATGTATGTATTTATTTATTTATTTATTATCTATTTAAAACATTTCTATGCCGCCCCATTCGCCGAAGCCTTGGGGCGGCTCACTACATAAATTAAAATATAATACATTAAAAATGTAAAACAAATTAACAATATAAAATATAATGTAAAATAAAGTATTGGTATCCCTTTGAGCGCCAGTGGCTGGGGAACATGACGGGGGAATGCAGTCGTGCCCAGGTCCTTGGAGCATATGGAAATGATGAGAGTTGCGAGACCAGCCTTCCTTGGCCTCCGACTCCCATCAAGCCCAGCCTGTGTGACAAGGTCAGGATTGCTGGGAACTGTAGTCCTTCTGGAGAGCATGTTAGCCAGTGGAAGTACCTGCCTGTTTTTCCCTGGAGCTTTTAAAACAGGCTGGATAGGCCTCTGTCAGGGATGTTGTGGTCGCCCTGAGCAAGGGGTCCAACGAACTGGCCTCCGGGATAAGTAATGCTTCTGTGAATTCTGCACAGTATCAGGATATGTGGGTGCAGATCCCTTGCAGAAGCAAAGCAAGTTCAGGCCTACATGGAGGATCACCTGAGGGCCCATATGCCGTGGAGAGGGTAGGCGCTCTTGCTCTGGAGACTGCATCAGCCCCCCAGCCCCACCTGCCAGGCTGGTTGACATCAGAGGCGGAGTCTCACTTCTGACATCCTGCATCCTAATCACCTCGCCCCCATCCCACCCACTTTTAAAAGAAAATCCGCTGGCCATGAAAAAGGACTCAGAGGAGGGGACTTGGCTGCCAGTTACGAAAGTTGACTCTTGCAAGCTCAGTGAAACTGAGATCCTTCTTTGCTCTTGGCTTGCATCCTGATGGGGACTTCCCAGCTTACCTCTAAACAGAAAAGAGCCAATCTGGCTGGGGGAGGAGTTTTGGGAAGGATGCTCAACCCTCCATGGACTGGATTGGACCCACCATGGGCCAGAGGTTGCTCTTTCTGCCATTTCTTGATCTAAGAAAATTAGGATATAAATGTATCAAATAATTCCTTTGTTTAACATCTGTGCCTCAGGCACTCCTACAGCAGCCCTGTTTTGAGTTAGTCTTCCCATCTGACCCCCTTCCTTTTCTCTTCTTTCAGAAAAAATGGACAGTAAGACTTCCTGAATGAATGCCATGTAAATGGCCGTAAGAGCAAATGGACACTGATTTTAATGTCGATTTAATTTTTTAGCACAGTTTTCACCCTGCCAGCTTGAGTTACATCAGAGAAGAATCTGTTTCCTAACTTCATGTTTATATATTTATATTTTAAATTACAGATGACAATGAATGAACTAACGAAGCTTCTGATGTTGACAAAATAGGCTTTAGAAAAAATCCCAAACTGAGCAACATAGCCTGAAACAAGTGCCACTCTTAGGAGTGTCTCCAACGTTAGCAAAACTTACGTTTTAGTAATTTCAGTAGGTCTACTTTATGTAGGATCAATACTGGATATAATTCTTAGGCTCAGACTAGGTGTGGCAATCAGCAGTCCTTTCTCTAGTGTTTTGTCTGTCTTTCTAATGCAAAGCATCCTTGGAGGATTCAGCTGAGAACAGGAAGGATGCCTTTGTCTGCTCAAAAACTGCCCGCTCCCCAAGCTGTTTTCCCACCTAGGTGGGGGAAAGATGCTAGTCCTCGCCATCTTTTCTCCCACAGAACAGAACAGCTTGTGGAAAGCAAGTTTGAACAGATAATTGCCCTGTTTACCCGCCTTTCATTTGCCAGGGCTTCTTTGAAATTTATGTAGATGAGGACAGAGTCTGTTTGCACCTTAACAATTAACAAATTGATCATGGCATAAACTTCCACGTTCATTTCCTTGGGTGCATGGAGTGTTACCCTGAGCTGCATGTTACGAATAAGAGAGTTGCGGGGAAGGAATGGTGCCATCGGCATGTCCTTCCTGCAGTCCGTGTTCCCCTGACGTTGCTGTCTGCTTTCCTGCCCAACTCAGGACAACTTCCAGCACTTGTTGAAGTTGTACCATAATACACTTGTTAGGGTTTAAGACGGCACAAGACACTTGGCTGTTCTTGTTGTAAAAGACTAATGTGTACCCCTCTGGAAACCATATATAGGAAAAGAAACACGCAGCAATGCTCCACAAGGTTAGTTTGAGTTTCAGCCCAGTCTGTCTCCACAGAAGTGTAAGTTTACCGCAGATTTATTACGATATTCCTACTGACAGAAGGATTCCCTAGTGTCAATATTCTTCCCCTCTCAGTATTGCCTTATGCTGCCGACCCTGCTCTATAATTAGCGTGGGGGGAGTGAGGTTATGTATTACAATATATAGAAAAGAGGAATATAAGTGAAAAAATACTAAACTGAAAGAAATCAATGACCACAGGATCTAACTGTTCTGCCTACATACATGATTATAAAATAAATGATTTATTTTAGTTTACTTCATTTCATTCTGATTGTTGTCATTCCTTTGAGAAACCATGACTGCAAGGAATAAAAGAAAATTGCTATCCATTCCAATTACAAGTCATAGTGAGAAACTGAAAATCACACAGAGGACTGTCCAGTAAGAAGTATTAAATAACCCGATGGGATCTTGAATCAAAGGAATACAATCTGAGAACAGAAAATAGGGATAGATGCTCCGGCATATAAATCTAACATACCTAAATGCACTGCCACCTACCGCATCACAACCCTCTGGTGTTCACAAAAGGAAAAATAAGTACCTCTGGATGAGGGGAGCTGAAGAGAGGATGCCTCTGTAGTTACCCACAAGCATGGGGGATCTGGGACCATGCAGGATTGCCCTTGCAAATGGCAGCCAAGTTGGAGCAAAAGGAACTGGCAGGTGACGTGTTGAATGTATGTGGCTGTCCGTGTGGCAGAGCAGAGGAGAACAGATGGTAGATCTCCAGAAGCTTCAAGCTCCCAGAGGGCACTGCTCGCGAGGGCAATGGTCAGGAAAGCTGGGAGCTGAGGGCAAAAGAACTGCAGATCTACTTTCTGTCCAGCCCTGCCAGGAGAAGCTGGTGGTGTGCATAGAGAGCCTGGTTTTATGGCCACTGATGGACTGAGCCTCTACTGACTGCAGTGAGATGGATGTTACACAGGGGCAGGGAGATCATGGTATTTTTGACCAGGTGTGCTCCCAACAGCTCATGGGCATTCCGCTTGGAGGTAGCTTGATGATTCGTGCAAGTTGGTCTTTTGCGCAAATGCAGTCTAAATCTAAATTTGTGTCAATGGGTTCACACTGTTTTACATATTTTGTTATGATTCTATTATGCAGCTCTGGGTGCTAGACTGAATCTTGATCTAATCCAGTGTAGCTTTTATGCTGCAATACTAGCTGTAGTATATAGCCATCCTTCCTAGTAGTTATTGACAATCTCATCCTCCACAAACTTGTCTAAAGCAGCTCAAGTTTGCCATCAGAACATTTTTGGTAGTGAATTCCCTAGGTAAATTATGTAGTTCGTGAAGAAAGGCTTTCTTTGTTTGTCCTGAATTTCTCACTGTTTTGTCTCATTAGCTGCTTCATTTTGCTTAATTAGATGGCACTGGTTTTTAGCATTATGAAACCAGGAAATGTTCATACAGCTTCTTTTTTAGAGCCAATGAAATGCAGTGTGGTGTTTGGAGCACTGACTGGGACTCTGGAGATCCAGGTTCTAGTGCCTACTCTATGATGAATAACTTTAGGTAACTGTGGGTTGCGTAAGCCAGCATTAACCCATCGTATTTTGATTTGGACATCACAGAGCAACCCCCAACTGGCCCAATCGGGTAGAATTTTCGAAAAGGGTACAGAATACACACAACTGGTACTACAGCAAATGGTGGGTTAGTTAACTCTCAATTTTCTCCTATTACATGAGAGCTGGGTCAATGATTTGCTCGATAAGATACATGCCTTGCACATACATGAACAGCCAAGCATCCACCTGGGCACTGTTGGCAGGTTTGACCATTTCCTGAAATATGGGAGAAATGACTATTCCCAAAGCTGCTAATGCACAAGACCTAGAAGGAAGTCTGTTCAAACAGTCCACCAGCTAGAAGGGGCGTTTATACCCATCCTTTGTTTTAAATATAATTAGGGGGAAATGAAATGACAGAAGCACAAACTTTTATGCAGACATCTGTGTGCCAGCGCAGATGTTCCAAAGATGCCGATTCTGTACGGTTTCCAGAAGCTTTTGTCTATAAAAATGTTGCATGTTTCACCTGGCATTTAATTCTTCTAAATGGATGTTATTTTCCTCCTATTATGGAAGCCAGTTGCTTCCTTGAAACATTATTTGCATAAAAGAAATTGAATAATTGATAGCGAAGCTGTCACTGGGTAGAGATTTCCCTGTAATCACGTTGGGACTAACACATGGCTCATAGCTTGTTTAATGGGATGGAAGCTGACAGGTTTTTCTTGTACTGTTGCTATAGAACTCATAGCTTTCAAATGACCTCCATGTACTTAGCTACTTTTCTTGTTGATCTTGCTGCTCTTTTCCTTCCATTAATGGGAGAATTCTTAAAGGAAAACATCCACTTTCTTACATCCCATCAAATACTGGTTAGTTGGGCCTGGAAAGTATTTCACAGTTTCTTTCCTTTTTTTAAGGAAGAAATCTGAGTAACACTAGAGCTGGGATGTTTCAGCTTGCAAAGATCAAGGTTAATTTAGTGTTAATTATTTTGAAGGATTCCCTACCATGGAATGAAATATATTTCCTTGTTTTCCTTCTCTGATGAAACTTGTCAAACATCAAACTTAAGTAATCCATTTCAAGATGTTTCAGCTTTACAGTGCTGCTGGCCAAATTAATT